GAGATTGAGTCTGAGACTGACTTTGAGACTGAGTTCGAGACCGAGTCTGAGATCGAGTTCAAGACCAACTTTGAGACTGAGTTCGAGATTGAGTCCAAGATGAGTTTGAGACCAATTTCGAGATCGAGTCCGAGATGAGTTCGAGATCAAGTCCGAGACGAGTTCGAGATTGAGTCCAAGATCTGAGATCGAGACCAAGTCTGAGATCTGAGATTGGGTCTGAGACTGATTCTAAGACAAAGTCTAAGGTTGAGTCCAAGGTTGAGTCCGAAGTTGAGTCTGAGATTAAGTTTGAATACTAATACAGATCGTGAGGTGAAAGCCCAAATCGATCGTCCCATAAGGGGGAGGGGGGGAGTGGTTGCAGGAGGTTCCAAAAGTATAGTAAGGATAGTGAAGTCCAAAAACTAATTTTGAAGGAACTCTAAATCACGATTGGAATGATAAAGAGTTTATTAGATGAGACTAAGTCTAAGATCAAATTCGAGACCGATTTTGAGACTGAGTTCAAGATCGAGTCCAACTCTAAGACTAAGTCCGAGACCATATCCAAGGTTTGAGATCGAGTCTGAGACCAAGTCCAAGGTCAGATTGAGATCGAGTCCAAGATAGAGTTCAAGACCGAGTCTAAGGTCAAGTCTGAGATTGAGTTCGAGACTAAGTTTGAATACTAATATAGGTTATGGGGTGAAAGCCTAAAGTGATTGTTGGGGGGGGGGGGGGAGGGGGGCTACAGTGGGTTCCAAAAGTATAGTAGCAATTGTGGGTCTAAGAGCTAGTTTTGAAGGAACTCTCTAATGGTTCTTCTAAGCCAACTTGAGGTTGAGACTGGGGCTTAAGGGCTTTGGGTGGGAGTGAGTATGGACTCAAGTGGTGCTGAAGGGGCCACCCAAGGAAGTACTTAAGAGCAACACTCTCGGAAGGGAAACTGACTATAATGCTCTTGGCTTATATGGAGTGGTGCCCCACTTGAGTACCTTGTGGTTTATTGGTCCTCGCTCCTTTCTAAGGGCTTGGGCCTTCCCTTCGAGATGGAAGTGGGGGAGTAGAGGTACCCATACTAGGCCATTAGACCATGGTATTTCCTCTTGAGGTCCTGAAGCAAGTGATGCACCGAGGGCTTGGGATTTAAAGGGTCCCATGATTAAGTTTTGGATGGTTAACACTAATGTTTATGAAGTGAGTAGCTGAAACCAAGTACAACTAAGTAGGAATTAGTACAATAAGCAAGAACATTAACAAGGGAATTTAATTAAGGCCAAGGCAGTGGTGGTCGAATAAACGAGATAAACTGATAAATTAAAAAGGAAAAATTTGTGATTTACATCAATGTCCTCATTGACTATTGACTAACAACCTCTATTAAGCTAAGGGGAACTAACACCTCATTTCTACACTGAATCTATTAATTCTTCTATTGTGTAGACTAACTATTCCATGTGAAACAACTAGTCATCCACTCGTACCATAGTCCCATGGTGGATACTTTTGTTCATGGATGCTCCACAAAATGAAGGACATATACGTGGATGCTCAATACATATGATTTCAAATTTAGGGGTATAAATATACCTTGCTCAAGAGTATATTATATTTTAAGTAGCAATTAATCAATAATAATCAAACATATTCCATTTTCTCTGATATCACATGTAGCACACTTTATATTTCTCTTCTTAAGCCAACTGGAAAAGGGACAATTGTTTGATGAGAGAGCTCTTAGTGGTTATTTTATCCCCTAAAGTTTCAAAGATTCACTGTAACAGTATATCCAAATCTCATACTATAATCACATAAGTTACACTTTTGGCCTTTTTATAATCTCTAGGCCTATTGTACACTCAACTTTTGCACTTGGTTCAAGTGCTCCACATGTCCAATCTTATGAGCAACACCCAAAGGTACACCTTTAAACTAATTGTATTCTCTAGGTTGATTATAATCTTTAGGCCTATTTTCCTTATGGCTAGGTAAATAATTTTGAAATTACCCCTAAGTAGATAATTTCAATGCTCATCTTGCCTTGGGTATTCATGTTTTGCACTTCAATTATCATTATAATCATTCCTCTTACGATAACTTCAATTATCAAGTGGATAGTTATGCCTACATGTTACTTTATGAACTTAAGTTACCTATTGGCTTCTATGAGACACAAATCCATAAGGCCCCAAAGTGGAGCCAAAAGGGTGTCATATAGTAGTGGCAGAAATGGAAGCCAAACAAGTGTAACACATTTGAACTAAAGCTTTAACTTGAAAAGTCAAAAACAAAAGTGGAACTCCCAAAGAACTGCTTGAGGATAGAGTATGAAGTGATCAATAAACAAGTCTCTAGAAAAGGGCCACAAGATGTAGTGCACTTAAATTTGGAGCTAAATTCCAAGTCTATTACACTACAAAATGAGGGTCTAGTACAATCCTACGACCACTAGCTCCCCATATCTAACACCTACACGTAAAATAGTGTTAAATGGTGTTTGGCACAATTTTGGTATACCGGTGGTCTAATGCGAAGAGGAGGGTACACCACTAACTAGAGGAGCGTGGAGTTTGGGCTTAGACCCAAGTTGGATGTAAAATAAAGAAGGACACAACCCAACGGGAGCCAAACTAATGTCTCAAGTGGTTAGACAAATATTCCAACCACTATCCTTACTATACATTTGGAACCCCCCATAATTGGCCCCTTGGCCCACCCCAAGGGCCCCCCCCCCCCCCCCCCCCCCCTTGAGGAACAAAAAATACATGCTTTGGCCTTTCACCCCAAGCCTCCTTTTTAGTACTAGGAGTTAGTCTTTGGGACAAGCTCAAAACTTACTAAATATAGAATGTCCTTAGATTACGAACTTGGACACAAGATAACAAAGTTAGCTACCCTTGCTACTCTAAGTACCACTCAACTTACAAATGAATGATACATCCCTGCCTGCATAATGCTTAACCAGGAAAATCAAATCATGTGTAAAGAATTCAACGATTTATGCCGAAGCATCAAGCTTATCACTATGAAGACCAAGCTCAACAATTTGGAGCAGGATTTGGAGAATCTAATTGTCTAAGGATAGGCAATAGCTTTGTTGTAGGGGTGGTAAATGTTTTATCTTGTGTATTTTCCCAAACAAAGTAAAAGAAGGAAGTTTAGACAAAATAGAGTTATGCTTAAGCTTAGGCATTTAAAAAAGAAAGACCCAACTTAGGCAACATTTGTTATAAACAAGTATGAAATAGCTAGGAATGATTATATAATCATGTAGTATATAAATAGCACTTAGATATGTTAAAAACTAACCCCCACTCACTATTGTATGCATTTGCATTGAATTAACCATTTTTTCTCCTATATATGACTGTTTATGCAATGTAAAGTTGAGAAAATGACATATACTTATCTTTATTCACGCCTTTGGAGTTCAAGGTTAAGTTCTCTTCTATTCTTTTATTATTCTTCTTTTCTTCTCTATATTTTTGTTTCTGTTTGTTTATCATTATTTTACAAGTAAGGGCAAGAACATGAGTATAAGCAAAAAAAACCTTACTCAGTTATATTCGTTGAAGAGCACTGTCAAAAGTGGCTAGTGCAAATGCATGCATAGTGCTATCAAAGGTGGCTAGTGCAAATGCATGCATAAGTTTTACAAAATCTTAATAAAATGTTAACCACATCAATTTGATTTGGCTTATGAAGCATTTTCACAATCATTAGCATGTCCAAATGCACATTTAAAAGCATTATTCCAAAAAATGATATAATATAATCATCATAAAGTAATCAAATTAATGGTACATATCATCCTAAGGATATTTACAGAAAAAATGTGGCTAAACACAAGGATTGACAGTAAGAGCAATAGAAGCTACACCATATGCCTTAAATACCGGCATCAACTGAGTCTAATTGATTAATTGCAATTGCCTAACATTGAACAACTACACCAATTACTACTCTAAAGTCAAAAGAGGTGTATGTTATTCTGCCATAAAGATGAAATAAAAAATAAAAACAAATAAAAAAGAATAAATGAAAAACCTATAGGAATAAGAGAGATCTAGAAAATGGAAAAGCTAGATCTAAACAAAAAGCATAAATCAAATTACTTTTAGGGATAATTAGAATTGCATGTGAGTGCATGAAAGATAAAAATGAAATATAAAAGTGTATATTAGATAACCTAGTTTATATATGAATTGAAACCAATTCAATAATTCACTACATTAATATTAATATACAGCTTGCAGTACTTTAATTATCATGATCATATTCTAAGATTTTGGTGGAAATGAGACTTACTCAAAAGGAATTAGGAGTTCTTTCTTGTGGTTCTTTGGAGTGAACGTTTCAAACAAACAAGCTTATACAAACATTTAGGAAGTCCTTTCTCATACCAAAAGGCTGATTGACTTAGTATTTATTACAAATAACTCCAATTTGTCATCGAAGATCATGGCTGCCAAGGCATCCAGCTCCTCATCCCTTGATTTGGGTGTGATTTCCTTGGGAAGTCCGTACCACATCTACTTTGGCACCATGGAGCAAGTCAACATAAGGAGCGGCTTCAAGTCCCTGGTCAAGATTGTGCAAGATGAAGAATCGTGTTTCAGAGCTTGCCAGGCTCGGTTTTGGGAGGTTGAGTTGATGGAGATCGTTGAAGTTTCAGAGGATACAGAGCGTTACTCCGAATCCGTTTTTGCAAGAGGGGGTTAGGAGCAGCCCTGAATTGTACCTCCAGTTTTGCTCCAAGGTTTGGGCCCATATCAGAAAATTCACGGTTTTGATGTTTGTTTCCACCACCCATGAATCCATCTTGCAGCGGGGTTTAAATCTCCTCGACTTTCCCCAGCCACTCGACTGCACCATGGTCACACTGTTCTTCTCATCCTCCCCTATGTCCTGGAACACAGCGCGCAAGAGCTCCACATTGTCACATTGTACACAATTCTGTTGGAATGCCTCTTTCCAAGGGATTTTACAAGCCGCACGCACAGCGTCATCACACTCGATTCCCCCGCCAACCTAGCCCTAATTGTTTTGAAATGGGCGGAAAAATACACACGAAATTCCTAGCATATGCTCAGAGCCGAGTAGTTTTTGGCATTGAGAGAGGGTAACCATTTGGCAACGATGCCCTGCTCGCGCTCGCGATGAGCAATGTGCGCGTAGATCACCTTGCTCTTGAATTCCTGCATCGCCTCCCCAAATTCCAGCCCCAGAGCGATCCTCGATTCCTCGGGCGTGGACGCCGCTGCGTTGTAGTCGTGGTAGAAGGATTCGTCCAGCAAAAGCCCCACCTCCGGAGCAGTGGGGACGATCACATCCACTTCGCTGCCATAGGAAAGAAAAGTGTTCGATGATCCATGATGAATAGATCACTCTGTTTGTTACCTCCTTAGCGCCCGATTGATCGTCGTGACTGGAGCGATGTCTCGCATCACCGCCACTGCCAATCCCACCATCTTCCTGATCTGGTATGCCATGAAGCTCCGGGCAAGCACGATGATCCTCACAAACTCGCTCCCTCCAATCCAGATCTTGTCCGCCGCTCGAAATTCCACCACTGTCCGCCGCGCCTCGCGGTCGCCCGGCCGGACGCGCCACGAGAAATTGTGGAAACTGTGATCGGTCCCCAGGAATCGTCCCAAGATCTGGTTGAATCGCTCGAAATCAAACAAGAATTCCTCCTCCAGATCATCCCCAGTCCGCGGATCAAACGCAAAGACTGGAAGCACATACTCGTAGCGCCGCGAATCGCACATCTTCTTGGCGCTGAAATCGTCCGGGACGCGCTTGAATCCCAGCAGCTGGATGGATCCTGGGAGGAACTCGTTGGTGCGATGGACGAGATCGGGGGTGAGGTAGAGCCTGGCCGACACAACTTGCCCTAGGGCGCTCACTTCCTTGTCAGTTCTTGCGGCGCGCTTCCAATCCAGCCAGTTCCTGGAGCACCCATTTGATCCGATCGCCCCAGCTCGCCCCAGGGCCTCCTCTAACACTCCCTCGATCGTCAAGGCGCCAGGATTGCGCTGCATTCCCTTGTAGCCCGCGCCGCAGTAGACCACGAACAGGGCAGCCTTCTCCATTCCCTGTGGAGCCCTAAAAGAATAATGCCCTAAATGATAGAATATGCTGATTGTTAAAAGTGCCGTAAATCCGTTTTTAAGTAATTAGAATATGCTTGTTCAAAAACATTGATCTAGTTGTCTCCAAAGATCATGGCTTCTAGGAAATACGGTCACACAATCTGTCATTGTTTTCAATTCCCACCCTTCAGGAGATTCATGCCGCATTGGCTTCAGCACCATGAACACGCGAACTAGGAGTGGCATCAAGTTCTGGAATCGCAGCCGAGATATATGGTGCTGTTTTGCTTCTGAACGAGCTTTTGGATACGGATTTCATCGTGCCAGAGTTGCAAAGCAAGTTTCCAAAGATAAAGAGTGTTAAGCCAAATCCGTTTCTGCTGAGTGGTCTCAAGAGACGCAACAAGGCTCTCAGAAATCTAGGTGAAACTTAATGTTTCCTTTCATGGAAAATCTTTCATTTATTATAAGTTTACTTTGATATTCAATTTAGCTTTTGCAGTACCGTCTTTTTAACCTAGTTAGGGTTTGCGGATGACAAGGAAGAGGGCAAGGCAAGAGGTCTTTTCCAGGAGTAGCGAGGAGGTTGAGGAGGATGAGCCACGCTTGTGCGCGCCCCATGTACTTTCGACTTTGAAGGAAGCATTCGAACGGAAGTATCAAACTGTGAGTGGTCTGGACAATGTGGAGCTCTTGCGCGCTGAGCTCCAGGAAGTAGGGGAGGATTGGCTGGGTGGGAAGAACAGGATAGCGCCCATGGTGACCATGGTACAGTCGAGTGGCTGGGGAAAGTCGAGGACTACGTGTGAGCTTGCGACTCGGGGTGTGTTCGTGGTTTACTGCTCCTTCGCCTCGGCCTCCGGCTCCGCGTACCCTCCAAGGTCCACCATTGCCGATTTCTTCTACGACAGCGCTGTCACCTTGCTCAGCTCGGGGCCATTGCTTGTGTCGCAGAGCAGGTTCATGCTCTTTTGCATGGACTACTTCGAATCGTGCATCGACACAGCCGTGGAGACGAAGTTGGAGCCGGAAGCATTCCTGAAGGAGCTGATGCTTGGAGCCAGAGTCTGGAATATAGTGCGGGACAAGATCAATGGTCGGAAACACAACCGGGAGAAGCTGTCTCGGAAGCTGCAGCCGGTTCTCTTGCGCCTGCATGGAAAGGAATCCAACGTTTGGGACGAATGGGAAGACTTGCTGCCACTTGCGAGCAGGAGAACGAAAATTCGTAACAAACTCAAGGACTTGCCAGTGTCTCCAAGTGGGAAGCTCCAAGTTTTGTTCGTCATGGACGAAGCCCGATGGTTTGCTCACGGCCATTATGAAGGAGCGACAGGACAAGAGCTACCAGGGTTCTGCCAAACACAGGAGCTGTGGCTGCTATCTTCATCGACACCTGCAGCAGTATTATCAAGAGCTTAGCTCCGGGTCCAGAGGCTCATCCCGGCGACCGTGTCGGTGCAGAAGGAGCGGTCGTTGCACATCCTCTCTACTGCATGTTTGCGGCGCGCTCGCCACCGGAAACAGGCAGCCTTTCGCTCGATCATGTCACAGATTCGGGTCGTCTCTTTGCATACGGCCGTCCGTTGTGGGCAGCAATGTACAAGGCTTGTGGAAGTCGGGTACAGGTCCTTGCTGTGGAGAAGCTTCTTGGTGGTACTGGAACATCTAACAAGTTTCATCACAATGGAACGATATCGATAGAGGCCAAGTTGGCTGTGCTGTGCTCCAGGGTGTGCATCGACATTAACCCGCAGGCCAGCATTGTCTCTCGCATGGTTGCCAGCCATTTGCTTACCGTCGAGTCCATCTCGGACGACCGAGAGCGTGTCTGGACGGATTGGGCCGTGGAGCCAGCAGTTGCAGCGGCCGCAGCTCTTGTTTTGCGGCGACAGCCAATCAACGAGCCGAAGGCTTCCGGGTGGAAGATTTGTTTGGAAGAGCTTCAGGAAGGGCTCCAGAAAGGTTGGATCGATGCTGGTTGCAAAGCGGAGCTTGTGGCACGACTGCTGCTGTTACTTGCAGTGGACAGACTAGAGAAGCATGTGTTTGACTGCTTCACTCTAGAGGAGTTGTGTGGCAGCCTTTGCAGGAAGACGCTTCTTTGCATAGAGGATGTTTCTCAGCGGAAGGGTTGGGAAAAGGTGGCGAAAGCGAAGTTCTTGTGCTTGCAGTTTAAAAGGCTCGACATACCACCAAAAGAGCTCACGAAGGAGCAAATGTTTGCACTGGGAAAGGCGGGTGTTGGAATCATCTGCCCAAAGGGGGGAGTCGACATGATCTTAGTGGGCTTCACGGGTGACACTTTCAGCCTGGAAACCATGACACTCGTTCTGCTGAAAGTCAGTCTTTGGGGGCAGCCACTGAAGCTGGATGTAGAATTTGCAAAGTGTTCCAGAGAGTTTTCTGGGATAGCACCAGAGCTCCAGGTACCATACGCCATCTTGTTCCTGAATCTTGGCGACATGCCGGGGAGTGTCAGCTTCAGAAGGGGGAAAGCTGTCAAGGAAGTATTGCTGAACACGAGGCCTGCAAATGCTTCTATGGCGTTGGCGTTGAAAGAAGTTTTCCCACAATGCCGAGGTGTTCGTCTGTGGGAGAAGAATAAGGGAGAGTTATTCAAGCAAGGGAATTCTTATGAAGCGTGGAAACATAGACTATTAATATGCATGTCGAGCTAGTCGTTTGCTGCCTGCCGTTTTCCCTTTCCTTTTCTGAGATCATTG